GAAGACTGTGTGTGTGTGTGTGTGTGTGTGTGTGTGTGTGTGTGTGTGGAGTCTGTGTGACAGGCTGTATATAATTAACAATTATAGACATTTATGTTTACATGTCGTTAAAGAAGGAATCTGAAATCAGCACCATTGTAATAATTATATCTTGCTTTCACCACATTTCATATTAGTGTTTGATTGAAGCGTGCACTCTTTGCCTACAGAGTTCCCATGATGCCATTTTTCTCTTCACAGCTTGCACACAAAACGTTTATTGTATTGACTATTGAGTCTCACTAATATGTATCACTTACAAGACATTAAAAGGCTATGTCGTACAATTATTTTCCTGATTTAATAATAGCCTACTGTGTACATTCCCTCCCTAATTAAAGCAGGAGGTGGAGAGTTGCTACAGCTGATCAAGCAGAGGGAGGGAATCTGTTTTACAGAGAAAGACCATCCAAAGCTGGAGAATGAGGCTTCCTCCCCTTAGACATGAGCAGAGCTCCTGCTGAGTCCTCCACCTCCACAAGACAGGAAACCCAGCTCATCACAAGTTAGGCTAGAAATAATTCAATGTAGGAATTCTCTGCCTGCATGTATTCAGGTGCTGATAAAAAGACGTTGTCAGATTTGTATTCTTCCTTTGGTAGGGTTACCAAACTGCCATCAGTACTGCAACACTGCCCGTGCCATGGTGCCACGTATTCCTTTACTCTTTGTTTTAACAGAGAGAAAAAACAGAGAAAGAAAATGGCAGTCTGGAAGTATTTAGTCTTCATCATGTGTGTAGGAACACACCAAATCCTTCAGCTGTACAAATCCATGCAATTAGAAATCCAATTTATAATTTTAGAGGACTACATAATAGCGACAGCTGGTAAAGATTTGGGTTCTAAAGTGTGTGAGAACAATTGCATAATGATTGTCAATAAGCGGCTGCGACAAAAACTAAAATATCAGAGAGATTCTGCATGAAACTGTTACTGTCTGCTGTCCCAGGGGTTGCTTGTAAAAAATTGTTTTCTCTTTTGAACCGATCTCGTCGGAAAATGATGACACATCTTGTTAGAATTTCTGAAACAACTTCATCTAATTTGCATGGAGAATGGAATTTTGTTGACTCCTTAGAACTGGGAGAACTCCCAACATTTCACAAAAAGCACAACATGTTTTCTTGCTTTGGTTTAGCGGCTTAGTGCTCCAGGTCTTCTATATAGTAAATATGTTTACATAAAATCATAGATGGCTGTTCGGTGAGCTCAATTCAACTAAATTAAGCACACTAAGAGTCATTTATAATAGAAGATAATAAATTACGCCTAACAGACTGACTGGTCACCAGAGCTGTACAACAGGTACAAAACCAAACAAATACTGTTTTTTTTGTGTTAGGACTGAAGGACAAAACATTTTTTAAATATGACTAAGTTTTCCATTAGAATGCATTATGAGTTAATTTTATGTTGTAGACTATGGTCATATATTTTGTTATTAAAATCAATTTTTGAAAAGTGTACTTAACTGAACAAAACCAAAGCAGCTGAGCGAAACAAGTAGCCTGTATAGTCTCATAGAATAATCAAGTAATGTACCTGGTTACTTTCAACAACTGATATTTTGGAGATATCTGTTCAAATGTCAAAATACTATATTTCACGATTTGGCGGTACTCACCCGTTTGCCTGATAGTGATAACATGGATTAAAACATACATATATATGTGTCAGGAGAGGAATAATCCTTGTTGTTCATTCACAGATCACACACACACACACACACACCCACACACACACACACACACACACACACACACACACACACACACACTCCTCGGTTACAGCTGCAAATTAGACTGTGAAATTGACAACTCGTGTGTTGCCATCTGGTTGCCATGACACCTAGTTATTAGGCCTTTTGACAGTCCTAGCTCGGCTTGTTTGTTCCATCTTCCCCCTCCTGCACATCAACATGTTTCCGATATAAAAAGGCACAAAACGGGGGGGGGGGGGGGGGGGTTGGGAGAGTGTGGGCTGAAAGCAGCACGGCTCTCTTCAGCGGTGGTGACATCCAAGCAAGGTATGGCAAAAGCAATAAATAATGACTTGATGTTCACTCAGGAGTACGTTCTGTAGTAATCCACAATCCTAGAAACAAAACACGATTACCATCAGGGCAAGGGGTATACCTTGAATGTGAAGTGTGCTGTTATGCAGAAAATGTTCCCTCGAAATGTACAATTTCTCCCTCTTACATCTCACCCTATTGATTTCCACAATACCTCTCTGCTGCACAGGTACAAAAGCATACTTTTCACACATTTCAGCCCCCGTCTGGACCGCATTGAGACTTTAATGCTCCAGTGATCAATGAGATGATTAAAGCAATTTAAAGGCTCCTTTGTTCAGTCTGTGCAATGGAATCTCCTTCATCCTCCAAACTGCTGGGCAGGCAGGGTGTTCCTCTCCTGCTCAGGATAACAACCCCATGAACTCACGTCCCCTGGATTAGAAGTGCACAGGGCAGACATGGCCTTTTTGTCGTATCCCACACAGACTCCCTAGGGACTGTGCTGCTGCAGTCTGGGAGAGAGGAGGGGTGGGGGTGGCAGTGGCGTGACTCATGCAGCGCCCCCCCCCCCCTTTCATCTTGACATTTGACATACTGAAGTAGAGGATCTCAGCTGGAACAAACACACTGTGCTATGTCACAGCTGCAATGTCTGTGCCTCTGAGCCCCCGGTTTACAGAGCCGAGGAACAGGTAACAATGAGTCAGCGCCTATTTCATTCATACACCTACGCTCAGAGACTCAGGGGGTTGTTTTCAAGCTGATTTTATTTTTTATTTTCCAGTATTTTTGCCCATGGGAATCCAACATCTCATAATGCTATCGTTCATTGAAAGCCAGTATTGGTTCAATTGCAAGGACTTGAGGGAAATAGGAGCCAGAGGTTGCAATGTTATTTTTTAAAAGCTAAAGTAACAAAGCTGCAGCCCAACTATACAGCTGAGTCCTGCAAAGAATTTGGTGATCCATTCTCATTAAATCCTTTTCACTTGACAACAAGGACATTAAAGGAGCAGTAGGTAAGTTTGAGAAACCGGCTTGAGATACACTTTTTGTTATATTCCATGGAATGCTCTTAACATCCCGATAGCAATGAATATCTGAAGTGCTTTGACAAAAAATCCATGAAAAAATGTAATCTGTAGAAGCCGTAATACTGTAAAAAGTACAACCAATCCGTTTAGCCGGCCGGCTAAACGGATTGGATGGCCTACCTGCCTGTCAGCCAGGAAGTGGCAGATTTTCTCCGGTTGTGTATTTTCAAATTCTAGCGATCTCGAGCCCGTTTCTCAAACTTACCTATCCCTCCTTTAAAGTGGACAAGGACATTAAACCACAAAACACAAATGATGCTGCTGAAGACTAAGGGATGCCAGAAGGAGGGTGGTTCCTAATTAAACCCACTGAGACCCTTAGCAGGTGCTCAGTCCTCGGCCCTGCCTCATCAGGGTAGATAAAGCACCTCAGCAAGCAAGACATTAGAAACAGACCACACAGGCTCGCTATTCACCATCTCTGCTCTGGGGGGGGGGGGGGGGGGGGGGGGGGGGCTGGGGAGATGTTGACAAGCGTCTCAGAGGAGATGCTATCATCCCCTCGATCTATGCACTGTCCATATACCCAACAGACCAAGGGATACAAAAACTATCTCAATTAGTTGGCAGGCAAAACAAGGAGACACAATAACCAAACGCATGGAGAAGCTAGTTGTTTAAACCATCTCTTAAAACTCTTTAGTATTTCAATTCAAATGTGGGTTCCTTACTTTCTCTCAAGGATTCAATTCAAAACCATGTTACCCAAAACTAAAGGATAAAAGGCGGTGTTCAATCTTAATCTGCATTCATCAAATTAGGGGACCTTAATAGGAATTTCAGCTGTCGTAGTTTCAGAAATAAAGACGTCACTAATAATAAATCTCAAATAACTGAATTCAACAACAGTTGCATGTAAAGATCTCTAACCTTAAACTCTAAAGCTAAATGGATTATGTATTGAAAAAAACTGGGGAAGACTCATTTGAACAAAGATGCAGTTGTTTTGTTGCAAAGTCCCTTGAGCTTTTGTCAAAGTAGAGCGTTCAAAGCCTGATGGGAGCTGTAGTTGATGAATAATAACAGTTTTTATGTTATCTTTAGTAGAAGCTTTCGACAGGGTATTACCCATTGCATGAGATGCCAGAATAAAAGAGATCCAAACTAATAAAAGCACAGGTATCTTCCATTACTCTGGAGAGCACAAAGTGTGTCCGATTGTCCTTCTCTAACTCACAAGGAGAAACAACCAAGAGCCATCTTCAGTGACTCAAGTATTGACACATTGGAAGTGTGTTGCAGTTGATAAAGAAGATAGCTTTCACATGAAACAAATTGAATCTCTTCTGATCATGTTCGGCCAACAATTCAAACAGAGGCATAGTCTCATTTGTTACAAACTGTAATTCTAAACAATAATGTTAGATTCAGCGGGATTTACAATTTTCAGGGATATCTTAATTCCAGTGTCCATCGTGAATGACGTCCATTTATTTATCCGCTTGGAATCACAGTAAAAATGACTCTTGAGAACTTGGCTATAAATATGGTGTTTTAAATCGTCTTCAGTGCTGTAGCGATTTAGTTAAAGTGGTCGGAATATTTTTCAATTCAATAGGCTAGATTAAGATGTGGCTAAAGTTGTAGCTAACACCTGACTTGTCCACCACACGGCAACACGAGTACTTCCTGTTTACATCTGCAAATTAGCCATTTATGGGAAGTGTAGTTCCAAAACGTAGGGCATAAAGTTCCCTCAAATCATTGCAAGACTTGCATATTCAATGCTTTAAGTTTTTACATCGCATTTCAATGGCTGAATATAGAAGTGACCAGTACAAATTAAGAAAGAGTACAGAAGAAAAGAAGTGAAGAAGTCCTCGTCAGAGGACAAGAAAGAAACCCATGTTGTTGGAGCATGTCAGAGTGGATTCACTTCAAGTGAAGTCTCAGTCGAGTGTTGAACGCACTTTTATTGTTTAGGTGTCAAATATAACAGTGTCACCATTCAGAGAGGGAATGAAGAGTAAATGGTCACATAAAAAAATATAAAATCAACAATGAAAATGGTCACACAGGGAAAGTCTGGTTCCCGTGGCAGTACAGATGTACATTTGAGAGAGTGTCCAGATTCAGTTTGTACACGTTTGTTTTGCACATTTCCACAGTCTATATTTATCTCAAACTAGAGTCCTTTTTTTGTTTACTAGCCATGCATACAGTTGACAATTCCACATGTGTTCAGTGTCTTCACAGGAGCTGGCACTTTCAATACAAAATATTTACACTACCATTTATTATTCCTATTATCTTCTCATTCATCCTTACTATGGATTTGAACACTGACAGAAGGATCAGGATGTTAAAAACTATTGGGCACCCCAGAAGTAAAAGAAAATGTAAAGTATGACAAATGTTGGCATCTTCACTATAAATGTCATACATTCCTGAAAGAGTTTAAAGATATCGTCTGTAAATATTCAAACACTGAAAACATCAACTCTTAGTCCCCTCAGGATGAAGCTGATAGTTGTATTTCTACTCAGTAATGTGCTGTCAGTCTCCCAGAGAGAAAAATAAAACATCACACGATATGTGAAAGACTCTGCTATTGTTTGCTGTTGTATCTCAAAGTGAGAAAATAGGAAAGAGATGACTGCACCAATGTTTTAAAGAAAAATGCTGACTTCCACCATTTTCTCTCCATTCCTTTTTTAATAACAAAACAAAGAAAAGAAAATGGTTAAGCCCTGTGATGAGTAGAAAAACCTCCGAAAAACTACTGCACAAAATAAGCTGGGAGAAAATGTGTGCATACTGTAAATCAAATACTCCTTCATATTTAAAACAAGGGGATCCAAGAAATATGATTTGGATTTTTTTACCTTCAGATCAAGGTAACAAAAAATGTATTTTCCGTGATACAAATACAACCAGGAGAAGATATTGTAACTCATTTTGACAGATTGTAAAACAACCCAAGAGTAAAGATCCTAATTTGTGACTGTTTGCTGATGATTTCTCCCGACAACTTGAAAGGATAAAAACAAATCCAAACAACAGAGAGAGTAACATAAGGCGAGGGAATGTTACGTTTTTGTCATTTGACAATTTCTCTTTCTGCAAATTCCTGGAGTTCCTCTTTCAAAATATATTCATTACTCACATGTTGTCATAAATAATCATGTCACCGCCGATTTTATGCTCAGTGGAGTTAAAATCCATCGCGTTCAACAGTGAATTTTACTTTATTTTAATTGGCATGTGCATGTGTGTCTTAGTGTGTGTCTCTGCTGCGGGCAAGGTAGCTTTCTCTAAGTAGATATTTTGCCTGGGTGGTTCCTGACGGGCCCCCGGGGCTATTGTATATTGCAAGAGGAGCAGCAGGGGTCGTCCTTGTCTGGCTGGGCGGCGTAGTCCATCTGCCGAACGATCTCAGCGAACAGTTCGTCTACCATGGTTTTGCTCTTTGCCGAGGTCTCCATGAACGGGCAGCCCCACTCCTCGGCCAGGGCCTGACCTTCGCTGGACGATACCTCCCTCTCACTCTCCAGGTCCACCTTGTTCCCCACCAGAATCACAGGAACCTTCTCGTACCTGAGGACAGATAAGGACACACACATGAGAAGATGTATACAGATATATCCGCCATCAGTCTGTCTATTATCTATCACTCTTTATTACAGAAAACATTTTATGGGCCATCGTCATTGCAAGAGTACATTGTTGTGAACATGGAGTCAAAACTACCTTCTGCTTCAGAAATGGCTGATTTGTATTCATTTATAATTTAAAACTGACTGTTTCATCCAAGAAATCCACCCTATCTTATAACACCATCTAAAGCTGGGCCCAGTAGAAAACAGGAAATGGGCGGTAGAGCTCTGACCCCTGATGGTAGGAAGTGGCCATAATCCTTTGAGCTCTGAACTCTTGGACTCGTGCAGAACAACATGTCACTGGTCTACTTAGCGGACAGCAGGTAGAGACGGACGGTTAAATTAAATAGGTAACAGCACTATAATTATTAGAAGAAACGTCTCTGACGCAGTGTCACCAAGTTAATCACTACATCAGTTTTGATAAGGGGAAACATGGCGGGCCACTGAGACGGTTTACACATCAGAGGAGATAACAATGATCAAAAAGATTGGAGAAATATCAGATCATGCATATCCACATCATTTGATAAACAACAGGTTTTTATTTCTTTCATCCTTATCAGTGTGTGAGGCTGGCAAAGGACAGATTTATATCCGTCCGACACATCGTTTGAAATAGGTTTACATGTGTCTGTTCGCAACACTGAACAACATGGCTGAATCTAAGAGTCATGCACCCAAACACTCATCAACATCATCAGGGTTTTCAAATCCTGCCCCTCGCTCTATTAAATATATATGCTTCTAAATTATTTATAGAAAGAAAAACAACCTCCTACTTCAATTACTATGGTAACAGGTAGACAAGGACTTAACCAATGAAGGTGAGATGGGCAGACTGCAGAAGATTTTTCCCGAAGTGGAGCAGCCTGAGTAACTCAGAGGCCAGGGGCTGCAGGTTTCACCGTTAAATAAGCTTAAACTTTCCGAGAACAGGGAGCCGACTTTGATCTTCTCATGAATACTTCATCCAGAGTGAACTTTAATCTCGACTATCCCGTTCTGTTCCCAGGGTCGGCTTTGCAGCGCAGAGGAACTACCAGGATTTAGGAGACGATCTTAGAGCATAACCAAGTGTGTGATAGTGTTCTACGAGCTCGGAGGCAACTTGAATGATAAGCTACATCTTACTGTAGCCTCTCAACTTTAACACGCGGTGGATTGCACAAGTCTCATTCATTGCATTCCTGGTGTCAATTAAATACAAGCCAAGGCCATTATTTTCCTGAGAACTATTTCGGACCACATGTCGTTGGTGGTAGGCAGCTCTTGTATTGAAGCTAAAATATATTTTTCCACCTTCGTTGAAAAAACCTAAACATAGTTGTGGGTGAGGAGATTGAAAGGCAAACATTTGATTTGATAGCAGCACTTTTTAAGGAGGAGCCATGGGGGCTCAGCGTTTATTCAAGGTAATAGTGCCGTTTCTGTTCTGCCCCCGGATGTGGTTTTAGCTCGAACCTCCTGCTGTAAATCCCTCAGAGAGTCCTATGGAAAGCAAACTATCTTATATTATCTACCATTACATTCGGTTTCATACCCGCTCTCACTTTCCTGTCGGAGTTGTGACTCGCTTCTGAAAAAAACGTTTCAGGCTGCTTATTACCTGAGCTTTCAGTATAGAGTCATGCTGGATTCATATAACAGCAGGGCTGCAACTAAAGTAATATAATAGTTAGTAAATAGTATAATAAGTACAACTAAAACTAGTTGCCAATACATCCTCTGTCAATACATTGATTTATTTGTTTATCGTTCCAGCTATATTTAATGGTGATTAATCATTATCACATTTATTGCATCTTTTCTTTGGCATACCATCCTGTCGATTCTTCCCAAACCACAGACAGCATGTGAGCAGGTATGGATTCAAGTAAAGTCAGTCCAATAAAAGTCATATCACCCGAGTGTGCTGTAGGTTTCATTTTATTTTTAACCATAATGAAGGACTTGACTTGGTCAGGCATATGCAAGTTATGCAGCTCATTTAGGACCACACTGAGACATCTGGTACCAAAGGAGAGGGTCTATATTTAGTCATAATAGCAGAGGAGGAAACCGGCAGTCCCATGAGGTGTGAGACAGTGGCTGCCACGGATACCGATGCTCCCAGTGCCGCTACATGAAGGGTGTCAACCACACTTTGACCCAACAGTGGCTGATGCAAGAAAGCAACGCATGTCCGTAACAGAGAACAATCACAGAGCGGTTTAGACACGGGCCTAAAAAGACAAATGAATAACTGCTTGTGTTTGTGCTGCGACACAAACAGCCCAACAACATGTCATGCTTTAGCCTGCAGCTTTTAAGCTTGACGATGCCCCGCATTGGAGCTGTCTGACTTCAGACACCCTTTCGAGCTCGCCCAGACACACCTTTTCTATAATGCATGATGATGCATCAACTCACATAGGCTTTGCTGACGGACGATGGAACCCAGCGGCAAAGCGTCTCTAGATCTGGCCAACAATGTCAGGATGAAGGAGGAAACAGGCTGCGTGCTGGGCCTTCTCCCAACGGCCCTTTTGTGAAAGGGTCTTCAGTTAAGTCAGTGGAGAGGCATCGGCTGAGTCATAGAGCAGCATTACGCTCCTCTCTTCTGGCGCAGTTTCAGGGCGAATAAAGATTTCATCAGGAATACATATTTGGAAAGTCTTTGGTAAACACGCCATGGCAAGCATATATATTTTTCATGATATTTTCAGCTTATCCAAAGAACGAAAGATTAAAAGAGAAAAAAAGGAGACAATATTAGGGACTTAAAGTCCCTCCGATTTTCTCAAGGTTGTACAAACCAATTCTCGGCTTCCCTTTTACACCAAAAGCCACTAAAATGTTTTCAGATCGCTTTCCAGTAGTGGTAAGAAAGGAGAGTAATATGCTTTGAATACTTCAGTAGCTCATTCATTGATCTGAAAATTAAACATTAGAGATATTGTTCTATTTTGGCACTATTGGCCTAGTGTCAGAAAAATCTCTACGTTTTTCTTTCAAATCACTTTACAAATATACAGTACACATTTTTACTTTGTTGATTGATGTTGAACATCATGTGAAGGTTAATGTGCACACTTTGCATAGATTAGGACACGTAAAACTAAAGAGCATATGAGCTGACTGACTTTCAGGGATTTTCAGAAGGATTTCTTAAACATTCATTCATGATTTGACTTTACAAAAAATAAATATATAAACCACTTATGCCTAGAGGGATGATTGCCTGGCTGTTTTCATAATTGCTTGTTTTTTTCTATGTGATTATCCATCGGAACAGCTTAAAAGTCCATTTCAGTTTTTAATGGGCTTCTATAAGAAGAGCTCAGTGGCATTTTGTTACTAACTAGCACACACTGTGTGAGTGCAGTGACATCAGCCTTTGAGAGAAGCTCTGTGATACAGAACTAGACTTTATGGGATATATATTCAGTTTGTAGCATCAATGAGAGTCTTGTACAAGATAATATGAATAATTGTTCGAGCTGCCTTAGTCAATTGGTCTTGTATTGGTAATTGTGTACCCTCTTTTCATGTTGAATGACTTATTTCTATGAAATGAATGAGCAGATACAGTAAACAGAAAATTCCAAGTTCTTTGTGGAGAAACTCCGCTTTACAGATCTCTGGATTAAATCAACTATTTGATACATTACTTGATATATTGCTAGCACATATATACAATGGGTCACATGGATAGCTTTGTATGTTTGAAGACGCAGTTAAGCTACAGATAAATAGGCATTCAACAATTTAGCTTGACAAAACCGTAATAAAAGTCATTAGAGGAAGTGTAGGATTTTGGGGTACACTGTCTTCTAGTTCATGCTAGCATGGCAAAATGCTGACAACGACAGTGCTGACATGGTGATATTTAGGCTGGCCTAGCTAGCAAATCATTTTCACTAAACTTAAAGTACAGCTGAGAAAGATGGCAATGCTTTTCCTCTGAGCACAATGAGCACACAATCTTAGCACAATCCATCCAACAGTTGTTGGACTGTTTCCAATCCTAAAGCTATGCCACTAAAAATGTCACTCGTGTTTTGTGTTAGTTAATGTGGGATTCTATCCCTGTACTGTATATAATTTGCTCTTACTAGTGACTCCCAAGATAGATTTGAAACAACTTGTTGGATATAAAAGAAACACCTTTGTGTCCTGCTTTAAACGCAGACTTTTGAAATCAATGTCAACTTTGAAGTAATCATCAATTAACTTAATCTCAGTTATTTTGCCTAGTTCTCTCAACAGAAACAGCATAAAGGGGATATCTCTGGGAGACTGATGCTTCTACAATTATTGATCTTGATCCTTTCAACCAGTTGGCACATGAACAAGTTTGCAAGCCTTAGTAGAATGCTGACTTTACAGAAGCAGAGGTTTATAACAGTAACCTATGTCACAATCCTCTGACCATGTCACTGCTTTTTAACTGCTCTGTTAAGTCCCCATATATCCCTGGTGTATAGTTAAGTGCAGCTGAAGTGAGGAGTGATGAGGTCCCCAGTGGATACAGTCCAGTCTTGGTGTAATCATGTGCACCCTTGGCCTCTGTGCTAAAGCCACTAACAGCACAAACTGATAGATGCTGACAGGGTTCAGAGTGAGAGCGACGCACAGCCGCGCCTCTGACCTGAGAGAATGCCAAAACTGTTGTGACGGGTCACCAGTGTTATGTCAGCAATGGAGACAAACAGGCGCGAGAAGCTATGACAACAGTGTAATTTGCAGCAAAAGAATGACTGCGGAGGTTAACATAACAAATGCAATAGTTCAAAGAAATCAGAGAAAACTGTCACAAGCTGTGGTCCAAGTTCTACTGGTTCAATTTAAACCATCTCATACACAATGTTGAAGAAAAATGATAGTTCTCAACCGACAAATATATTCATCATTATTGATTCATGTAGTAATATACTTGATTTATCAATTGTTTGGTCATACATTTGTGAAAAATGCCACAAATCACAAACTTCCCAGAGCCCAGATGACATATTTAAAAGTCTTGTTTTGTCCAAAATGTATTCAAATTACGATGAAACAAGACAGAGAAGCAGCTAATTCTCCCACCTGAGGAGCTAGAACTGGAAAATTTGTTATTTAACCTTTTATTTGTTTTGTAGATCAACTTACAGTGGAACAATCTGGCTATATTCCACCCTTTAATAACCTCTTTTCTCTCATTGGTCTGTGAAATGTTGAACAGTGGGGCTTTTTCGATGTGTCCGTTCTGTTTGATGTCTTAGCCCGTCTTGTCCTCTATTGCATTTACAGATTGCCTACATATCCCACAATCCCCTTCAACAAACCCAAGAACATGCCTGGACTTGTTGCATTTCAGCATTGGGTTTTAAGATTGCAATTAATGATAAGGTATTTTTTTCAGTAAGGAAAGAAAGCATGCTATTAACCTTGAAATGTAACTTCTGAAATACATTAATGTTGGCTTACACAGTCAGTCATACAACTGTGGCGTTAAAATGCAGTGCAAATAACAAAGTGATGATTACAACACACCGATGCTACTACTAAAATAAACTACTTGTGGTACAGTACTAATCAAATTTTCAGACAAGAAAATAATTCACGTCAACTAAAAAAGGAGACAGTGTAGAGATACTGAATGTGTTGTGTTTACTCAAGTGTGTTTGCATTCTATCAGGAGTGCTGCTGTCAACAGAAGCGTCTAAGAAAATAAATATTCTGTGTGTAGTTGTGAAACGGCTGAAGCTTTACTGATCTTAAACAAAATATTTGACTGAAATGTGTTTCTTGGCTGATGCTTTTAAACCTCAAGTATATCACATAGCTTTGATATATTCTTTATAACAAATAAAGAAGTATTTGAATAATCAAAGAAAATACTTTCATTCAGAAGACAATTAAAGGAGAATAGCACAAAGGGCATTGAATTACGGACCTGACATTTCTATATCCTCTATTTCCAGCACATCTAAAGTGTTCATTGTCTACACGAAGCATAGGATTCAGAATCAAACTATGAGAAGCAGTTGTGATGTTTTTGCTACAGGAAATAATTTCTGCTGTGACATTAGAGATCAGCACCAGACTCAGTGTTAAATATGAAATCACATAACAGCCTGGCAGCATCTGCTGTGTGACCGCACACATTTACATATAAAGAAGACACACATTGACACACTCACACTCACACTCACACACACACACACACACACACAATACCTATCCTCATTCTCAACTCATATGGGGGAAACATGTTGACCTCATTCTTTCAACCAGAGCCAGATATTTATAGGACTTTTTACAAGGTGCACTTAAAAATCTACCTTGATCCAATTGTGATAAGGACTATTAGAAACTAACAAAAATAATGTTTGATGATTACCTTACAGAAAATAAACAATAAAACCGTTAATACAACTCTTAAGCCTGGACTGGCTGCACTGTCCTTACGCTGAGTCTTATCTTAATGAGCTGTATCAGTTAACAGTATGAGCTTCAAGCTGCACTGCTTTAAATATTATTGTTCTTAAGAACATCTTCTAATGGAACTGGACTCCCTAGATTGACTGCAACACATCTGCTGACACATACAATGACGGATAAACCCACGCAGTCACAGCCCACTGGTGCTGCCACCAGTGATTTAACCCGCAGCATCCATGACAAGGTCTATCAAGGCTCTCACTGGGTTATTTAACATCATGCCATATTTCCCGGTGAATGTACAGTAAACAGCACATCACATCTTCAAATTGCATTGGCCCAGAGGTTTAAAACACCAATAACACAACAGAGCAACCACACAGCCTCAACTAACCTCTTCTGTGTATCAATTAGCAGCTGACCTCATATCTGGATCATCTGTGTAACAGCGCTCAGACATTAGATGATTTCATGCTTTCCATTGTGCCGCTCTTCCTAAATAGCTTGTGCGGCTTGTTAATTAAAATCATGGCTCCTTATTCTCCGTAGAACCCCAACAGAATATCAAGCCATGCTTTCTTGAAGCTCTCTGCACTGAATCGTGGGCCTGGTGTTTCACAGGGGTTGCAGCATCTTGCTCAGTGGGTAGAAGCTTCACAGACGGCGTCTAGCGTGTTATGACTGGAGGACTGGCTGGACTTCAGAGTGCTGATGGACAGAGTGGATCAGTATTTGGTGTCCTGCTAGTTACTGTCAGATCAACTGTCGAGAAACATTGCAAAGTCTGAAGAAACACTGAGAGTTGAGGGTTCTCTTAAAGAACACATGCTATTACTTTTAAAGCTGTAGTGCAATTTGCCTTTCTACAAGCACTGTGGGTGGTTCACCAAAACAGATCAGGCATGTTGTGTTGCTCTGTAGTCTGCCCTGAAGATACACAGCATCTTCATTCAAGCAGTTCTCAGACCAGGCCTAGGCCCACCCATAACTGCAGTGACTGATCGGCCAGCCCTGTGTGTGAAGATGAAGAATAACATACAATATACACACTGAACAATCTGGACATTATTATTACTTCACCAACCTTTTCACTCTTATGATCTGATCCCTCATCGGCTTTATGTCCTGGAAGCTTTGCTGGTTTACGAGGCTGTAGACCAGAATGAATCCTTGACCGTTTTTTATGTAAAGGTCCCGCATGGAGGCGAACTGCTCGGTACCAGCGGTGTCAAGGATCTCCAGCACCGAGGGTGATGAGTCCACCTCGATCTCCTTGCGGTAAAAATCCTCTATAGTGGGGTCGTACTTTTCTATGAACGTCCCGGTAACAAACTGCACAGTGAGGGCGGATTTCCCGACCCCACCGCTGCCCAGGACCACCACTTTATACTCGCGCATCGTGGATTAAATCAAGTCGTAAGGTATCAAATCTCCGCGCGTCATTGACATGAACTCAAAATGTTCCCGCACGAATCACAGTCACCATTCGCTTCCCATTTTGAACGGGTTGTCAATAATACAGTCTTGCTCGCCGCTGCTCAGCTATGGTAGAGCACAAAGACTCGCTGCCCCGAGATGGATTTCATTGTAGAAATTCCCCCATGCAGGCCAGACACTGACAGCTACCCGGGCGTCCGAGGACTGCAATTGTCCAAAAATGTGCACAGGGAGGAAGAAATATTGCCCGCTGATCGTGCTGGTTTTCATCTGCTCAGCTCACCCCTCTCTGTGGATCAGAAAAAAACAAAGTTGCTCCATCGAGGACACTGGTAAAACGCTGGCGTAAGCCCCGTAGTGTGAACTGCAGGCGCAATGTTTCAAGCCGGAGGCCACATCAGGAACACAGAACTAAACTGTTGACACAAATAATTAAAGAACTCTTTGTTTTCTTTTTCACCATCTCTGGTATGTCTCCGCGTCTCCCTCGCTCTCCGGTGCAATCTCAGCCGCCATACTCTCGGGTGGAGACCCACGGCCGCTGCGTAACCAGCTGGTCCCCACTCGGCTCCCGTACCGAGGCAGAAAAAAAACCTCAGTGACCCTCCCTCTTCCTCAGACGGGTGTGCGGGCCGTCCAACGGGGAGCCTCCTCTCTCTGGAAACATCACTTGTTTCTGAATGGAAGCCGCTCGGAAACAGCCAGTCACATTCAGCCGTTGCATTTCCGTTCATGTGGTAAAATTCCCCATCATTCGGTTGCCCCAGTGACATCCAAAGAGAGCTCGACCAATCACAGGCCTGGCTTGAGGATGTGTATCCAGGAGGAGGAAAATGCACCGGATGCTGTTGCCATGGTAACGCTGCGTTTTGTTGCTGCTGCCCACATTTGAGAATGTTGAATAGCAAGTCTGACAATAAAGTCTGATGATTTAAACCTGGTAACTCTGGTTTTTAGACCAGAGCAGGCTGCAATCTGCTGGAAATTTCATTAAATGATCGCACTGTAACTGCATTTTGGTCTAATTGATGTCATTGTATACATCATATATTATTAAACACATTTATAAATCGCATTAATTCCCTATTTGATATTTTATTGAAGTTATTTATTTGTCTGTGCCTATATGATCACTGAAATGCTTCTGTTTTAAATGTGCTATATAAATAAAGTTGCCTTGACTAAATTCATCCCAAGAGAATTTATTCTAAATAATAAATGTATTATAATAATTATTCCGGACATAGCCTACTGAAAACTACCTGAAATAAATAATATGAAAAAGAAAATTATAGAACAAGTCATATTAATTAATATGATATATGTTTCTGCCTTTATTGGTCTTTCTACGATTATTTAATACATCATTTTTCTACCCACCCAAACAATGGAAAAAAAATGGAAAGTGCTAAATCAAAGAATAGAGCTCACAGCACAGCATTAACTTGACATTTATTTATTTGCAATATTAGATTTAACACAAGTTTGAATTTACAGGAACAAAACTATCCACATGAAATGTTTACTTAAGCACAAATAAAATAACTTTAACACGTTATAAAAAAAAGAGGGACAGTTTCTATTCAGGCCAGGATTTAACCGAATGGTACAAGTATTTTTTTTACTGTGGGATATCAGTTAACAAGCATTTTAGTCAGGATAATGTTTGGATTGATTTTACAAACTGTCATTTTGGCCTCAAACTCAAAACTTGTGTAGGAATCATTTCAAAGAAAAGTTCAGTGAAATGTACTTTATTTATTAGATAAAATGAAATTCACAACTGAACAAGACAGATTTATGAATAGATTAAAGATAAGGCAAAGTTGACAAAAAGCATGTCCTCTCAGTTTGACGGTTGAGAAAGTGCTTCAGTCAGTCAGACTAAACATTCTTACTGTCAACATCTTTTTGACTGGCTGATCCAAATCTAAGACAACCTCCATGTGCATGACATTCAAGCTTTTTGCCAAAAGGTGAAACAAACATTCGGTTATATGCCTTTTTATTTGCATGTAAAATAAATAAGGGGAAAGTGTCATATATCTAATAACAACCTAAACTTTGAAAGCAACTATATCTTGAAAATAAATGTTCAAACAGTCGCTGAACCATCAACTCCTGACCTTCTGACTGCAGATTCCTTAAGGGTGGATTATACGTTTGCTGCAAGATGTTGACATGCAGTGGAAACCATATAAAACACAACCAATCACATTTCAAAATAAATTCTCATGCACTGGATCACTTACAGTGTTTCACAATGGCATAATAAAATCAAATATCTGACAGTACAATCTAACATGTTATTGTGAGGGGGAAAACAATGTCATCCCCTACAAAAAAAACAGTTTTAAATCACTGCAACTTCAGATTGCCTCAGCAACACATCAAAACAATTAAATGACAAACTATTGTTACCCTATTATGAAAGTTACTTTCCATAAAATGTGGCCTGTACAATGCACTTTTGTACATAAAAAGCAATTCTATGGCCTTGCTCATACAAAGGTTGTCCCTCACAGGTGACAAGGCAGTGACAGGGATGAAATGTTTTAAGCTTCTCTTTGCTCCCACATTTGATCCCTGGACACAAGACGGCTTATCATAGGCTAATACAGAGCGAGGCCCTTTAAGGAACCTCCAGCAGAGCTAAATTCAGTTTAATAAATTACATTCGTCATAAAATAGAAGAGAATACATTTTAAAGTGTTCTTTCCTAATATTAAACTAGTAAAATATGCAAGTATGCTTCTTATATATCAACCAATAATGTGTAAAACCTTTTGCAATGAATGAAAACATTGTGAACAAATGAAACATCTCTTGGTGGATTGTCTGAGTTAATCACATGGGTGTGTACATCCTTTTTCATAAAAAAACTCACCAGTCACTTAAAGACATTGGAAACATTTAAGGAAAGGTTGATGTTGCACAAGCTGTTTCCAAACCTGCAAACTAAAATGAATATTAAAGACGTTTAAGAGAACGTAACATATATGAGTGAAAATGTTTTTTCTAACATCCGTTTAGTTTTTCAGTTAACCAGACACAATCCCCACTCTGTCTGCTGTCAGTTTCAAACAAAGATGGGTAATTGCATAATGTGGTACCAACCATACACAACTGAACTCACCACACTTCTAACTCCGTAAATTCTACTTTACTACATAAAGTATTTTACTGCATGAAACTAAATAGGAAACATTGTCATATACTTATCATCTTAAAAGTGAAAAAAATGAACTTAAGCAGGATATAAACTCTTATACATGGAACACACATACACATTTGAGCATCAGTGAAAGTGAATTGAAAGACTTACTTAAACTATTATCTGAAATACTAATGCACTGCAACCTGTCTCCTAAAAATGTCAATGTTTAGGTCACAGGGTTGTGCACTGAACATTTCTTTCTAAATGTGACTTAACTAGAGTAGAATAAATCGAGTGATTTTTTTCACACAAAGCCTTTTAAATATGCACGGATATCCTCATCTGCACAATTCTTCAGGCACTTGTAACATTCAAATAATACAGTACTGACAACCGACTGTAACATTAAGACTAACATTTTACACATTACTCTACTCGTCCCTTACAGGATTACAGGAGCTTTAGTTTGAATGTGAGCTGCAGTAATTATTACACCCTTTTAGCCAGTTGACTTTGATGGCTGTGGAGCCTCTTCTTAAAAAAACGGTTTGCTTTATGTTCAGGTTGAGCCGGAGCCAGTTTCACAAAGACATTTCGGACTGGTCTTGAATTTTAGGCGAGTCAAAATTGAATTAGACTACACAAAAACAACACGGGCTTATTTTAAAGCCTGAAAATTTAGCCACACTACCACCAGGCTAGAATTAAAGTAATTCTATGGTAGTAATCGGTGACACCTGCTAACCAGTGTTTCCATGGTAACAATCAGCAACACATGTTGACCATTGTTTCCATGGTAACAATCAGTGATGCCTGCTTCCTGCTGACCAGTGGCACCACACTTAAAAAAAGGGGAAATATTTTCCCAGTAAAATATCTCTGTAATTGTTGAATCCAATCATTTTCTGTTGATCTGATTGTTGTTATTTTACCGCTAGTCCTACTTAATCATTTGGATCTGAAATCTGAATATTATTTTGACCTAAGCCTAGTCAAAGTCTATCTTTGTGAAACTGGCTGCAAGGTAAAACCGGTGCATCAACTATCACCGTTACTGATCATTCCAAAAGTAATTTTTAATAATAAAGTGGGGAAATTTAAACGTTTGAATCATTTTTGCTTGAATGCATTAAAGTATTTGCGATAAATAGATGATACTGTTTTTTCTCTCAGCAAACATACTGTATTTGCAATGCAAAGGCACACCAGGAGGTGGAGCACTGTTCCTGTTCTGGGATGGGGGGGGTAAGGTATTAGCTGGAATAACCTCAGAACATTTTAAAGGAAACTTTACAATGCAGAGTTAAAAGTTAAAATAAGTGCTTTTTCTAAGTTTGTTTGAAATATTTAAAGCTGGCACTAGATAAACAATCATTAATGTGAAAACCCTTTTAGCTAACATAACACATTCAAGAAAGGAAAAATAAATTGTTTCTCAATATCGTGAGGATACAATTTGAACAATCACCAATAAAAGGACCCCTTTACACCCGGTCTTAACATGTATTGTTTTCAGATTACATCTGTCATGCTTGTCTCTTGTATTATTTACATACATTTCAGTGAATAACGTTTATATCAGTTCATGTTTAGGTGTTGCTGCACAACCTGTTTCTGTTTGAGTTCGACGTGTTTCCTGGTCAGATTGATTTAGAAAATGACATTTCTATTCATGAGCATCATATATGTGAACTGGAGACACATTGCATTAGAGCTGATTAAGAGGCTAAATGCACCCATGACCTTGTCAGAATTGCTTTAGGAAATAGAAACCAGGGTATTATGCAAATTAGTGAGGATGCATGTTAAAGCAGGTGCAAAGGTGCGTGCATACAATAATCTTCTGTGACACTTATCTAACATTGTATAATCCTACTAATGTAATGTATTGTGAGAGATCAAAGCAATGACCACAACCTTCTCCTCAGCGATGTTATCTGCATGCAGCTTGTTGTACGTTGTGTGTGGTGTGAACAGAATATTTACAGAGCAGTTGTTTGGCGTCTTTATCAGCAGCAACACGGCACTGACTTCTGTTTCTGGCGGTTACTTGAGGATGATCTGTTTCAGGGCAAAACACAGTCACTTAGTGGCAAATAAATAAACAATCACCTTAACCCAGATAATTAATGAATTATCTATTTATATTTTGTGCATATGACACTAAACATACATGTATGGAACACATGTTTGAACTCACAAAGGAAGACAATTAAATGTTGTTTTTGAGGAACAGCTAACGCTAATGCTAACCCCGCCATCGAACATCATATGTTTTAGTCTGGGCGGAGGGAAGTACTAGAACACAAATAAAACAAATCCAACCCCTTAATCAGGATGGCATCTTTTCACAGTTGATGATAATAATAATAACATTAATGATATATTAGCTGAAGAATACAACCAGTTTGACAAGTATTAAAGCTACTACTAAGCATTAAGACAAACAGTGACATGGAACGAAGCAAAAACATGCTATAAAGAATAAATGCAACACCACCACTTGCAGATGGAAGACTCTAAATAAGTGATGTCTGTCATCGGGGAAAGAGGTGAGATGCAGACCAGTTCAACTGAAGGTCTACAGGTAGATGAAGCTTAATGGCAGGCAATGCAAGCAAGGCAATGCTATGCTGATGAAGCAACTCTCCTGATTTAAAGATGAAGCACTTATTCTGAGCTCAAGGATTTATGACAGAAAGCTTTAAAAAAGGAGCAAACCTGATTGGCTGGTGCTGTTGCTGCGTAGGCGACACTTGTGGCGGGAGTAGCTGCTGCAGAGACAGTAGCAGGCGTAGCACTGTACATCATGGGGACTTTTTCAGGAAGGGAACCATGAAAGCAATGAAAAGGGAGGTGGAGCATTATGGTAACCATAGCAATGTATCTCTCTCTCTTGCCAGGCAAATACAATATGACATTAGCAGCGAGCCATCATTGGGTTAGACCAGCAGATGGCATGTGATCACACGGCAAAGCGAGACGGCAGGGAAGAACATAAAAGGAGAACTGATAAGAGATCAAATTAGGAAATCTGTCCAGAATTTGACATCCCAAAAGAGACGGCAATGCCATCAGACACCATCAAAGTGTTTTTACTAGACATTAAAGGAGTTTTGAAGATGTCAAACATTTAAGAGTATCAAAAACATTAAAGTGATTCTAAGGGATGCTGATCAAATTTCCTAATCCGTGGTGCTTTGTAATTCCACAAGCAAAATCCTCAAAATGCTTTCATTTATATATTATCTTTGACTACTCTAATACATTATTATTGATATATAACAGTAAGTATATATCACAAGACTTGATTATCAAAAACAAACCATTATGCAAATAAAATCCTTTTAGGGAAACACTAACAACATCTAGTAGTACCGTAGTTTTATTGTTATTACAGGTTGATTCTAATTTAAGGTTTTGCTTTCCGACGCTGCAAAAACAAAAAAGCCAGATAAATAAAAAGCTCCATTGATAATAAGACATATTTTATAAAAACATAAGTAAAGGACTTACCCATGTTGTTACCGGGAGCCATGCAGAAGACAGAACCTGTGTGATTATCAAATGGAAAGGGACAGTCTTTTAGTGAGACTCATACATATGGTCAACACTGGCATGAGCCCACATGACAACATCTTTAGTGCAGTAAGAATACACAAATAAGACCCATAGCGTTCAGTCAGTAAAGATTTAACAGATATGCAGATTCATTAAGTAAAGTACTACATGTTAGTTTTGACAACAAAAGAGTGTAAGACAATATCATTAAGAAAAGTGTATTTGATAGCTGTTTAAAGTCATGTTTAAAGCTCACCTGTGGGGTAGTATGCAGCCGCCTGCTGCTGCAGCTGGGAGTTGGCCAGAGCTTGTTGGTAGTGCAAAAAACTGGGACTGAGGAGAGAGCTGGCCCAGCTGTTCTTCTCAAAAGCTTGTCTCTTTGGTAGGGGTACGCTGTAGGGAAAGCCCTGAGAGAAGACAAGAGGAAACATGACATACCAACCTGTCTCCTCTCTCTATTCAGCTTTATTTTAAACACTTATTATTTAGTATGAATTTATAAAAGATATGGAAAAACGGCAAACATGACTACACAATAAAGGTTATCACAAAGTGGAAAAATCAAGCATGTTTTAGGATACAAATATGAATGGAATAACAAAAAGTATTTCAAATTAAGCACTTAAAGCTACTGATGATGACTGTGTACACAAACTACATGAGACTGGAAGAAGCTTTAAAAACACAATGACAGAAATGAAAAGTTATCACAGTACAATTAATAGCTACAACCAAAGCAAAAGGTGAAAATACCAGGTCTACAGTTGCCTCGAGGGATCGCTTCATTGCTTTGGCAGTCGACTGAGTCTTTTAATAGCAGGCAGCGAGCACATGATGGCAGTGGGCCAATGGGATTCAAGCGTTTAACAAACAGGTAACAGCAAGCAGAGGTGCGTCATGGGGGACAGCATTGTGGATAGGTGAGAAGGGGAAAACAAAAACAAAATAATCTGAATGTAGTTTACCACATAAAACACAATATGCATGCACAGTGATCAAAATAACTGATTAACAGACACATTAACTAAAGACTTGTTCATTAGTAGGTCAGCATGTACAGTTAATCAATAGCTATGGCAACACAGATTTATAAAGATAGGGCACAATCTTCTATCTGCTCTATTTAGACTGTCATTTGTTATTGTATATAAAACACTACCACTACTGTGACGCTAACAGTGCTATTATGCACACTATATCATTTGGAAATACCGTATAATGTACATGGATTTGACTGCTTCCAGGAAGCGATAACAATGTAATGCACATCAAGCACTGAACATTTGATTGTTGACTGAAAAATGACTTGGTTGTATGAGAGATAGTCAAAGGCTCAAGTAACCGTTTCTGTAATGTCATAACACACAGAATGTGGAGCTCTATCTAGTAATACTTGTGACGTAAATGTCATGCAACAAATATATTGTGTATATTTACAGTAAGAATACATAAAAGATGATGTTAATGAAAGGTGATGGTCTATGGAGGCCAAGGAAACACAATTTACTGAAGTAAGACACCTTACAATGCATTACGTTTAAATAATAATAAAATAACTATCTATAGTAAGTTGTTGTTAAAACTGAGTTCCAGACCAAGAAAAGCGATAGAGGCAAGAATTGTAGTTAACAGATGACTTTGCACTATAAATATAGTGTTATAATAAAACCATTCCTCAGTTGCTTTGTAGCACCAGTTTCTGAAGTGTTTGGTGAACAAACACAATGTACATTTTTTGATTTGGCCTGTTTAGAAAACATAAGCCTTGTAATGTCAGCAGAAAGCAGAGCTCCTTCATTAAAACTGAAAGGGCTAGATTGGAAGCTATTTGATTGACAGGCCTTTTAATAAAAGGACTAACCCTTGAGAGCAGCTGAATCTAATCTAATCTAATGTCATCGTCCCTGTTCTGTCTCCATCCCTGGTGTTTGTAAACACAGGATTAAAAAGAAAGGCATGTGTTTTTAATTATTAAAAGGAGAAACAAAGTTCAGAATTTGCATGGATGATTAAGATCCTTCCTTTTCATTCCAGTTCATTTATGTTTTAATACAGAAGATTTAAAAGTTGGACATCCAGAAAAGGTCTCTATGCTATGCCGTTACATTAAATGTGCCATTCTTATAGTATAAAGACTTATAGTGCTCCACATTCTGTGATATCATGGCAAAACAAATGACCTCTAAAACACCATATTATTGGCAGGGTAATGTGGTTTTGTGTAAAACATGTTGTTTAGAAGTCAGGAGGATGGGCTCTTACCATGGCTGCGGCGGCGGCCTGGGCTGCCACGGCGGTGTGATTGACTTGCTGTTGACCAGATTTGATTTTTGCCTGCAAGTGTGCAGGCGGGTGAAAATACTTGCACTTCTCCCTGGAGCAGCGGCTCTTAATGTAGTCCATGCAAACAGTGACAGTGTTATCTGTGGTGTCAATCATGGGGCTGTCACTGGGGTGAGCGAAGCGGCAATCCGTCTCCCCTCTCGCACAGTTTCCCCGCTGAAACTCGCGACACACCTGAGAGGAGACATTATAAAGACAGTGACACAGGTTCAGCATGGAGTCGGATCATGTCAACCACCAAGCTATTACTTTATCTTCTCATGTTCGATCATTCTTTGGGGTGCAAGAATACCTCAAGTTTGTCTGTACGCTGCAGCTTCTGTGAGGGAGAAGAAGAAGAGGAAGAGGAAGAGGAGCTCTGGACCGTGACAGGTGGGCTTCCAGAAACAAGGACCTGGTTGCTGGAGAGGTTGTCTGTGGAGATGAGGCTCATTCCATGGCTCAGCGGTGTCATGTATGAACCGTAACCAAGACCAGTGTTGTTGCCCAGTCCCTGTGTGAATTGAAATGTTGGCTATAAGAAAAGATGTCAAATATTACAAGTGAGACAAGCAGTAGGGATGCACCGATCAGGCTTTTTCAGTCACAATAATAACACCTGCGCTCTGGGGAATGGTCAATACTGAGTACTGATCTGATATCAGTGTTTAGTGATAAGCTAAGTGACTGGAATCATTCTTTATGTGTACGGCAACATCAGGCTTGACTTTTCTTTTTACTTTGGAAAACAAAATGTGTAAATAATAAATAAATAGATATACATTTGCTGAATTGTCCATAGCAAGCAAAAACTACTTCCATCTGCTGACATGCTTGTTATTAGCTCCCTCAGTCATGTGGTCTACTGGTGTGCTGCTGACGCATGACTCAACATGTGCACATTTAATCAGCTGTAAACAGAGAATTGAATATAGATAGACCCCATAGTCACCAGGTCAGCTATTTGTCGGCCCAACAACAGTATCATTTAGGTGCATTTCTAACAAGAACAATGACACATTTAGAAGTTCCTTCTTAGTGTTGATGAGGCCTCACCATAGACTGCAGGCTGGGCCCTGGGATCATGAGCTGCATCTGTTGGGCGAGCACGGCGGCTGCTGTCTTCTGCTGGATGAGGTTGTTGCGCCCATTAATCTCTAACTGGGTTTTTAAGTGGCAAGGTGGATGAAGATACTTGCAGTTTTCTCTTGAGCATCGACCCTGTATTCAAAGAAAAAAGAAAAGGCACAAGGCGGATTCATCATCCTTATATTCCTCCAAATAATATCTTATATTACATGTGCTTTTTCAAACAGTAGCTTTCATATTTGTTTTAAAATGAGATGCAGAATATCGTCCTCCGTTATTATAGTTAGTTAGGTTACACAACTATCCATCTACACAGCTGTATTTTTCACCCCGACACATATAGGGAACACATGTTCACACATTGGCATTGAAGCTTTGACGTAGGTCTGCACTGCAATATCATTCAATATCAATGCAATAGAGAGGAACAGAAGGACTGAAGGCCATTCAGATATCAATTCACAATGTTGCCTTTATGACTGCACTGAAACTAATATGAGAGCCTTAGAGAAAGAGCAGACCGGCCACATAACAACACACAACATGGTGATTTGTTATACATCTCAGCAGTCAGGTTGCTACCTCCTGTTAAACGTATAAATGAGACAAACCAAACCATTTCTGTCAATCAAGAGATGTTAGCATAATGACAGGTTAGCTTCCTCTGCTCTTCATATTCAAATTAAGTTGACTCATTTGGGGATTTACTTGCATTATTTTGAATACATTTCCATGTAGGATTAACTGTCATCAATGCTTCATTAGTCTGGATAAAGCTCAGAGTAAATACAGGGTCAATAGAGCTGTTCAACCCCCCTTCTAATGTCTAAATGTTTTACTGGTTTGCAACGTTTGCACAACTTTGCAGTTGCTTACAAGTAGGGAAATGAAAGTATGCCTTGTGTAATACAGTTCCCTAAAAGTGAAGGCGCCACAGATATGGGGAGCTTTAGTTAAACTGAGGTCAAAGACGAGGAATCTGTTGCACATGAACCATTCTGTCTTGGCATAATGTAGCTAAAGTTGCGTTTAATGTTATGAATTGGTATGGTCACTTCTCTGCTGGCTCAGGGGAATCCTCTAACATAAAACAGTCCTGAGTGAGTTAGTCACAGAAAACAGATCAAGTCTGTGTATCAACAAGCCTCTGCGGAAGCTTTAACAAGGAGTCATGAGATCCCAGTTAGCAAAGCAGCAAAGGATGTGCTCATTCTTCTGTAGTATAACAAAGTTTACTCTGTTGGGAGTGGTTAGTGGGCAGAGGACGTGGACGGCCATCGTTTTGACCTGAAATCAACTAATCACGTGTCAATAAAATGCCCCCGGTGGACAAGACGAAACAGCAACACAAGAGCAAAAAAATATATGTTTATAAAGCACAACCTGGGCATTTAGCTGCATTTGATATTTTTATAAATAATGGCTGATTTGAATTACACCCAGCCGAATTAGTACCAGTTGACAGTTTACCAGTAGCCATACTGTGACTCGGACAAAAGCCTATTCATGAGGAAGAGCTGTGACATCATCACATGACTGCAACAACTGTTGGTTGACCTCAGATTTGTTCTTTTCTCGAAAAGACTGAAATTCTAGGTTGTATTTCTAAAATGAGATAAAACTGGATGAAATGTTATTTAATTCACTCACTTCATCCTAATAGTATTTCATGATTTCCATTATGTATAATTGCTCTGTTGTTCAGTGTTTGACTATAAACATACGCCAACATCAAGCACAATTTAATCTGGGCCTGAGTGAAAATGTATCTTTTATTAAGAAGTTGTAATAAATACTTAAAAAAAAAATGTTTTATGCAAGGCAAAATCAATAATGTTGTTGTTAGATAAAGGAATAAGGTAGCTACTTTGCGTTAAGCCTCAGGTCCGGGCCCTTGGCCACTGGGGCACAGAGAAGGCCTACAGTAAGGAGATAAGACGATGACTCACCATAAGTATAATCCTGAGGGCAAAGCTGTATTGTGTGGTGATAGTAAATGTGTGGATTAAGGCAGCATTGGTCTAATACAGGGCAACTGAGCAAACAGGAGGCTCAAAACTGGCTGCCAGAAATAATTGTTATAGTCGACATTAGATAAGTGATGAGATAGGCCTCTGACATGTTAACCTATTTTTGGAAAGGGTCATATTACATATGATTTCACAAACACTGGAGCATGTTGGAACATCAACAGCATTGAGATGACCGTTTTCTGTGCAGTTTGACATATTTCTGCAGGGAAAAGGATGTAATAGCAACTTCAAATAGGGGGCATATTCATTTGAGAGTTCACTATGGGGTGGGGTAAAAACGTTCAACTGACAGTAGCAGTTAAGGATCTTTCCCACCCCTATTTAAAACATGTACCAGGGAGGAGGAACATAGTCTTGTTTGTGTCCCATACTATGTAGTAACTGTTTGAACATTGCTGTGTAGACAACAAGTATTGATATCAGCCCTGTATAGTTATTGTTATTCTGGTTATAATGGTAGATATGCAGGTTTAACTGTATTTGATGGGACATGCTAGCTAGATGGAACCTGCAAGAGCACTTTGAGTATTTAAAAATAAATGTAGACCTATTCAAGAAGAGCACATTTATTTGCATTATTTCTGATTTGGTATAAAACAACAGAGAAACCATTCACTCAGGGGACAAAGGTAACAACTACAGTAAAATGCTGCATTACATGAAGTATTATTCCTTTATAAAGGGACAAATGTTCTTAACATTCAGTAAAGTATCAACCAGATAATACCGTGTGGACAGCATTTCTTACCTTCAGTGAGTCAAAGCAGGCAACAACTCTCCCATTGTCAACTTGGCAGCTCTTCGGTGGATGAGCAAATTTGCATTCCTCATCACTACGTGAACAGTTTCCTCGCTGGAACTGCCGACAGACTTCCAGAGTTAACCATTTTGTGTCTCTGACTGAAGACAGGTTTAACGCCATGTCCAAAGGTTATAATCATAAAGTTTTTAGTTTTTAAAAAGGCAATCGATCGATTTTGTTGTGTCTCATACAACAAAAACTGTGGGTTGGCTCTTTGTGCAAAGTCCTCTTTTGAAACAACCTTCCATCAGCTGGAGCAGAACGATGAGATGTTTGTTCAATCTCTGAGGAATCACCCATCAAAAGGAAACCACTGTGTTGTTTTTTTACTGAGACACGTTTGAGTGTATATTGCACAGATGATGGTGCACAGAAATATCAGACAAGTGAGGGAATATTAATGCAGACCTCATACATTCTCATGTCATTATATTCTATTCTTATATATTATGGCTCTATTTCAGCCTTTTTAGGTGCTGAAGTTGTGCAAAGAGGAGGCAAAGTGCTTGCTGCTGAGGTATCCTGCGTGTCTTGCCTTAAAGAAAGCATAGGTCGGCAATGTACACAACCACCTTCAGGTCAGGGATATCTTCTCAAAGGCACTTTGTTAGTGATCTGAAAGATAAAAGACAACAAGAGTGAGAATGTTTCCGAAAAACAACACTATAATTATGGTGCTATTAGTCTACTGTTGGCACATTTAGAGCAACCATAAATTATTCTTATACACTAACTGCATCTCATGATTTCTTCTATTCACCGGAGACTGTTCATCCTCTAGAGTCATTTGTTCGTTAGCACTTTACAGCAGAAAATGGATTAGGTCAAACAATAACAAATGTTATAATTTGTAATTAGTCTGGTTATATTTTTAGTCATCAAGTCAGACTCCCAAGAGACTACTCAGTCTCTGGTTCCAGCTTCTCCAATGTGCTGTCTTTTGTCACCTTTATATCATTCTTAAATAAAAATAAAAGAATACAATGTTTTTACTCAACAATACATTCTAATCATGATGATCTCTCTTAGTCATTCTGTTTTTGTTATGTTTGCCCTGTGTAAAGATTTAGATATTTGTCAAGCTAATATTGCTAGTATTATCTTGTTAGCAGATCATTCAGATGCTAAGGATTAAAATGGCATCTCAACTTAATACACATTGTGAATGATGGTTGTTATACTATGTCTGCACAACCACAATTGATTTCTCTTAGTCATGCCTCTTGAAAAGGAACAATGTTAACCGTGTTACAACCAGAGCCACAGTTGTTGTGCTAGTCTGGGCTGAGTAGCCGGATGGTGTCATGGTAATCAATCAATCAATCTGGCAATATGAACATTTACAAAGCTCAAACCCATCCAACCATAGCATGTGTGTCATGCCTTGATTCTAACACATGTTGTTAATCAGTATCCACCAAAACAGACTATTACAACTAGATGTAATCCTGAATCACACACAATTTCTGCACTTCCTCTCTGCTCGCGAAAACCTTTTTTCCCACGACATAGTTACTCTCTATTTGCTGATTCTGTAGGATGACACAAGCACTTGGTGCCAAATTGCTACCGTCAGATTTGCTGACTGAGAGCACAGCAAGCACATACAGAATACAAGAAAAGCAAGACAAAGCTTAAACACACATCATGTTGGGAGTGAAACCCAGAACAGTATAGTCAAACCAGCACACACACACTGGTAAAACACACAGGAAGTTGCTGAGGAGGCAGAAAAGGTGGCTAACTCGTGAACAGAATACAGGAGTTTAGAGGTTCCTCTATTGAGAATGTAACATGGCTAACACATGTACAAAGACATACAAGGCACGGATCAGAAAAACCTCTGCTGTTGTTAACCTAGATCTTCTGCTATAACAGCCACACAGCTTTACTGCATGCTATCGCACCGCATACTGCAGCAAATTCCTTTGGGCGCAAGTCAGGAAACAGAGCAAGAAAACCTACCTCTCTCACTCCATGTAGCAGTAAAGAAGACTGTCCATAACCGAGAATCTAGGTTCAAGATGGAACTTTTCAGAAGCCAACTTGTAAAACAAATACCCAAATAACAGCTTTTAACCTCCTCTCTGTCTCACGGAGTCAGTAACCAAAGATTTTCTCTCCACAACAGTAAAAACAGATTGCCTGTCCAACTCTGGCTGAACATTTCCAGCCACCCCCCCTTCCTGCCTTGCTGCCTGCCCCCAGGAAGACCCTCCCAGTCTGAAATTAGCCAATAGAAAGGCAGGAGCTGATGCACTGTTTGTGCACAGCTTGGAGCAAGACACTGCTGGCAGCTGACTCTTTATCTATGAATACAATTAGGTTATTTCACAGAAATTAAATTCATCATGTGTAATATAGACATGACAAATGATCTACGAACACCCAGTCACCGATTTTGAACTGTGGTAATGTATTTTCCTCTGTTTGTTATTTAAAAAGGCGTAACTTTTTGTCTGTAATCTTAATTACATTTTAAATTGAATGTAATTAATCATGCAAAGCAGAGTAGAACATTATTTGGACTGTTGTGGGCTGGGAGAAACATACATTTGTTTTTTGTTTGTATGCCACCATACAAAATACTGTATGAAAATGTTTAGTAATAACCATTTTGTTTAAATCCAAAAACCCTAATAATTCTGTGTTAATTCAAGATTTTACTCCTAGATTTTGCTTGTGCATACATAATCCATTCACTTTCCATATATAATGACTTCTTACACTGAATGTGTCTCACTGAAAAGTGGGTTTTATGTGAAATACAGCATGATCAATCCCAAGATTAACAAATTAACTGTCACAAATTACCACAACGTTGTCTGACTATAAAAGAGAATGATGTTGCAATAAAACACAGTAATGACATGGCAGTAAACTGAACTGCAAGAGCAGATTAGTTATAACAACTCTGCATCTTCTCTAGTTGTTTAAGTACTGATAGTTAAAATACATTGAAGTATTTTTCTAAATGTTAGTTTGGTTGACCTCATTTGGTGTACGAATTGCATTATTATTGATGATAAACAGTAGTTATTGTGTATTAATGTCTGTTCCTCACACATTTCCTGGAGTGAGGATGAGAAGATGCACACACACATTTCAAACATGTAAAACAAAAATACAGCTATGTATATATTTTAACAAGGAACAGAAAATGCACTGACTTTCAACACACGTTAGCATGACCCTTACCTGTCACCACCGTGTTATCTGCACAGTTTGCTACTTCGAGGGTAGCATGGTCTCTGATTTGCATTCTCATCCTCGGCTACTTTAGCTAGCTTGTCGAAAATACTTAGTTACAGTAACGTTAGCAAGCGAAATACATTGCTGTCATGGGGCTAACATTGAACATGACGGGTTATTAGCTTACATTAGCCACACTGTTAGCTGGGAAGCACACCTGCTTACCTCATCATCATCACGGATGAACCGCTTCCCAGAGGAAACAGCTATCACGCATCAGCTAGGACAGACGACGAACTAACGAAAACACGATGTCAAGTGCTCCCGAAATGTCTGCTCACCAACAGTTTAACTCTTGCTCTGTTTGCAGATATATAGCTTGTTACTTCGATCTCGTTTCGTTATTACTTTACTATAGCACTGCACAGATTTAAGCAACAAGCTTTTGACAGCTTACTGTACGATCCTCCGTGTGATGACGAGGTTTCCCGGGGTGAGCTGAGATGCCTTAAGGTGATATATTTCAGTATACAACGGGACACATATCAATACATGCACAAATATGTGCTATTGCAATCTAATTTGCGTTAAGTTGAGTTTAACTTAATTGTCTTTTGGCAAAAGAGACCATTCTATAACTTACATTTTCTAACATTCCCCCTACGACTGCAAAGTGGTACGATCCACACGAATGCCAGTAGGCTAAAAGGGCAAGGGTTTGCTTGTTACCAAGGGAACAGCAATAAAACCATGTGAGTATTTCTGGATTAGTTTATTAAAAACACGATTTCACTTACACGTGTAAACATCTTATGAGGAACAAAAGTAAATATGAATTTGACAGACATAGTGTCAAAATTCTGCTCAATTATTTGCATTAATTAGTAGTAAAATAACCCATGCATCATAAAGAGGCTTGTCTTCAATGTAATTATGTAAGAACTAATAATGAAAGGCTTTTTATGAATTATAATGACTATATATCAGAATAAAAAGCAAAGCAGTAGCTTGGTCATATAGGTCTGCTCAAGGTCATATAAGATGGATGCTAACCCGCCAACCGGATAAGATCAGTCAGGAGTGTCAGAAGGAGGGAGGCAGAGAAGAGAGAAAGATGTGGCTATTATTTTAAAAAAAAACATATTTCTGCAATGATTTAAAAAAAACAACAACGTTTTTTTTCAGTGCCACTTTCATAAATGCATTGTGTCTGTTCTGGTTTATTACTGGTTTCTACAACATTTCTAAGTAGGCCACTATGCCTCAGTTGTATGGCTATCTATTTCATTTATTTTCAGTCAAATTGGTTTACTAGAACATTATTTATAGGGAACACCTGATTTTTAAGTACATTTAAAATAACCATAGACTACTGTATGTCTGAAAGCATCAGAACATAGACAAATATAATTACCGCTTCATTTAATACATTCCTGGTACAGTGATGGTTATGCTCCACCTAAATGGCCATTTCTGTGTGATGAGGATAGTGCAGGAGCACCTCTGCCATGATATTGAATGTGAATGCTTTGATTGGCATGTAGATGCTTACTCAGGATAAAGGACCATTTAGAATATTCATGTATTAATTAAAATGTTAAACCTTTGTGGTCAGTCCTGGAATAGCCTTTAATTAAAACAGTGCTTTATATAAAAAAATAAAACAAACCATCAGTGCAGATGTAATATTCAACTCCCACATTCATTTAGTCACCATGCAACACACACACACACACACACACACACACACACACACACACACACACACACACACACACACACACACACACACACACACACACACACCACACACACACCACAACACACACACACACACACCACACACACACACACAACCACACACACACACACACACACACACACACCAGCTTTGACTGACTAACTGATTGATTATCCCTCTTTTGTGTTTCTCTCATTGTTGTTCTTTTGCTTCTTGAAGCAACAGATGAGTTTGATCTGACCTGTCATACTGACAGTCTCTTCAACAAACTGGAGATGTGGCATCAATTGCCACAGGGAAAGGTCACCATTGCTCCCTTTGAGGAAAATTCCACTGTCAAAGTGAGTCAGATATCAAAGAGAATGCAGCAATACAGGCTTCTATTTATCTTTTGTCCTTAACCATATTTGTTGCGCTCATAATTAGTTATTTAATCTCCATTTAATATTGCATGTGACTGTGATTGTTGTCACATTCTGAGTTATTTTTATTTAGATGCACATTCATACAACTTAAGTTGAACTAAACTGTGCAATGTCTGTTGAAGTGGTGTTTTTTTTAGACTGTCCTTTGTTTTGGAACATTTAAATATTCTAAAGTGTGAGATCACTAGTGAAAATGTAAATAGTTTGGTTGGCCTGTACACAATCCTGTGAGTGGCACACATGAATTTGTTGAAAGCATCACTCCCATCTAGTGGTTAAAAAGGCTTTCAAAAAGCAAAACAGTAGTAATGTTTTAGTTTGAGAAAAATACGTATTTAAATAGGAGACGAGCTCATTTGGTTTGACATTCATTGTTTTTGTAAAAAGTCCTAAAGAAGACAGGGTGTTTCTTAAGTTTTTATAGAAATGAACAGCCTGTAGAATGAACATGTGGCACACGATAAGCAGCAATGCTATCCTTTGGCCTGTAGATGGCCCTCTTCCCTTAAATATATTTCTTAAAAAATTGAAAATCCAGAGGCTTGTGAGATGCATTGCTGGTTCAGAAACCCAATTCAGTGGTGTCAATGTATTTCAAGCTGTGTCACATCCTGCTGTGATCAGTGAGGTTGTGCAGTGTGGCTAAAAAGCTGAACTATATGGTAAAATGAGGATCAAATACTTTCAATATTGAGTTATTTCTGGTACCTGTCCCTGATCTGAATATATCCAATCTGGCAACAACGATTTCCCCCCAAACCAGCTAACCCAGGTTCATAAGGATTCAATTAATGTCAATTGATTTTTTTGTCTACTTTCACACCAAGGATATGGTTTGTCTTTTGAGTTTGTTGTGTTGTGGAACAACCAAATTCTTGTTTTTCCCCCATCTATAGGAAGTAATAAGATAGATAGATTTTAAGATCCAAATTCAGAGTTTAACAACTTTTCTTTGGTGCAGCACACATTTCATACTGTAAAACATTGAAAAAAAATACTGTCTAACCGTCTTGGTGCCTTGCTGCAGTCACTGGATAAAATGCCGAGCCTGTCATCCTCACTGCACAACCTGAAGGAGAGCAGAAGTTTCTGTATGTTGATACAGATGTGAAGTAAACGCCAGGTTAACTCAATATGCTGTCAGCCCTGAGGCACTTGGTGTTATAGGTGAAGGGAAACAGACGTGTTTTCATGGCTATATGTTTGCACTTGTTAACACCATGCCATACCCTTCTTTTCTGGATACTATTTATCAAAGCATACCCTACTTTGTTAATTAAAAGTTCGCTCACAATTAATATGTGATGTCTTCACTTTATCAGCACATATGATCTTCATTTAGGAAGTTAACTGGATTATAAGACATGTAAATGTCTGATACTTAATTATCTGAATCATTACATTCAATGCAAGAGAAAATATCAAGCTAACTCATATAAATGACTGGATGTGATTATCTTTAATTAGGCCTAATAAATGTAACTGTGACTTATCACATTCTATACAAAGTATATACAGTACTCACCTTGAGTTTACTTTGAGATGGTTCACAAAACAACTTTCGAAAACCAATTTCGAAAATCAGTTTTTGGTAATATACATTCTTGCAAACAAAACCTCAAGTAGGTTAGTTGAAAAATATTAAAAAAAACACACCATAATGTCATGGCCATTCAATGCATTTATTTCTGATATTATAAGCAGAATTAACTCGTTTTTTCAGGTCTGACAAAATGGCAGATTAAATATTACACGCCAAAAGGCTCTTAAACCGTTCATTTCATCACAAGACTTTAACATGTACATATAAATTCTTACA